ATATTTCTTGGGAGAGTATTACAGAGATATGGAGCCACTACTAATCTGGCCCTGAATTGTTCATTTATATATAGCATTTGTGAATTGATCCAAATCCACACAGATTCAGGAGTAGTGACCAATATAATAAAACAGATAAAAGAATAAAATCAATATCTTAAAAATATGATAACATTAAACCTTGCCTGCTCAATAAGGAAGGCTTCTTGGACTAATAGTATCTTCAGCAGATGCTAGGGAAAAAACAGTGCTTTTGCCTACCCATCTTCCAAAAGCAGGGAGTGCACAGAATTGGAGCCATCACACGGCACGTTCTTGTCCTTCTAGACACCAATCAGGCCATAACTCCATGTGGAACCACCAGAAAAACGTACTTCAGTGACCTCAGTGACCAGGCAGATTGGTAGAGGAAAAGCTACTGTGGTCCAATTTGTTTAGGGTCTTATGCTCTGCTCACTTGTAACCGTAGGGATTTAAGGGCCATATTCAGCATCTGGAATGCTTCTCTTGTCTGTATCAGTTACAGTTTCTTAACCTTCAAGAATTTTTGTGCTGTTCAAAAGCTTTTTTTGAAATGCATGCCTACATATGGGCAGTGAATTACTTCTCAAGAAACCTCCAGTTCCCTTAAAACCAGTTGGTAGTATCTCCAATCTGATATGATTTTGTCAGTGGTGCTGCTATTCCTGTTCTGCTCTTCTACTGACCACTCAGAACAGCTGGAGTATGATTAGAAACAATCATAAATTACCGTGTCAATATGTAATTAACAGCATGCAATAGATCATAGTTTCAAGTAATCAGATCACAGTAAAATCAGGCAAAGGCAAGTTCTGAAAAATTAAATTGTTCCATTAAAAAAAAAATCCATTAAATTAAAAATGTCTTCAGTTTGGTGAAAAAGACTTAAGAAGAGGTGTGATTGATGCATCTCAATCAAGCAAATATTCAGAAGCTAGGTGATCTTTTCTTGAACAGGTGGCCTATTTTTATGGCTTTTCATTAATCAAATAATTAATTTCTATGCCAACTAATAGCCAAAACTCTCTGCATTCAGTCACTAATCAATGCCTAGAGACACTAGCCCTATTTAGGTCTTCTGAATAGGATAAACATGTGAGGAGAAGAGTATTCCAGAACTACCCTTCCCCTTGTCCCTTTGGTTGGCCTCAGCTCATGAAAAGTGACAGTCTGATAAGAAGAGCTTCTCTTATCTCTGGAAGCTCTCTACAGGAGCTAGGGAAATTCAGTATTGCTCTCTAGCCTTTGATGAAGCTCACAGGTTTCTTGGTTTGGTAGAATACAGAAGTGGGAAGAAATATGACAGTATCTATAGAAACAAAGCTGGAGATGATTTTGTTTCTTATTTTATTATTAACATTTATATTCAGCATTATCTGCCAAACAGCCATAGAAAAAACCTAGATAGTGTACTTGGCTTTGAAAAAAAGTGGATGCCAAATAGAGTGGTTTTTCAAATAGTTGTGGGGGGAGGGATTTTCCCTCAGAGAATAATGTTTAATGAGCAAACATATTTGCTTAGTCCTTTTTGCATGTTACAAATGCAGCATGTAACCTGAGCACAGGGCCAGCAGTTTGTACCATCAACCCCACAAAATCTGGCACATAAATTGGGATTAGATGTATCCCAATCACTCCAATATTACTACTGCTGCATGAAGAACCCATTTCAAGAGGACTTCATATGATGATTGCAATTTGTAGACTAGCTCTTAGTCAGTTGCTTGGAACAAGTGCTTTGTAAAACATTTGCCTTTAAAACCTAAGTAGTTTATATGCAAGAAACTGTTATACTTGAAGACAAGCAGTTTACAAAATGAAGTGCCTCCAACTGAGAAGGCACTGTTCACCTAGGGTCAACTTTCTGTAACCCCTCCTGACCTCTGACGTTCTGGTAGCACCTGATTAAGAGTGAAGCAGTTTATTGGGTTATTTCCTGTGAAATACATGTGGAAACGTTTTGCAAGAGACACTGGCCCCTCCATGATCAAAGCATTATCAGTAGGTGATTTGCATTGTCTTTTGCAGCTATTCCTCTCCTAACTTCTCATATTAGATTTCATAAATGAGGGATGTTCCCTGGAGAGTATCAGCTCCAGAAGTTATTTTTCTTCTACAGTCAGATATTGTGGCTGCATAATAGTGATGCTTTCTATAAAGCAGGAACAACTGCTCCCTTAGTGCTGTTATGGTAGTTCTGCTTCTGATTTAGCATGGACAAATATAATGGGCCATGAGTTGGAATCCTGAAGCTGCGAGTGCATGCATTTCCCATTTCCTAACTTCTAATTGCATCTATTTCCTCAAATCATAGCACAGCCAAAATAATGGAGAATCTGACTTAGGCTGCTCTTTCTAAGGGGTTTAACCTGCCACTTTACTCAGGCTGCTTCCTCCATTTTCATTGTGAGATGAAAAGTACGTCCTTTTACACAGTTCCCTTGCCCTCCAGGGTTTATTTTCTCTACCTTTCTATATATTCTGTCAACCAATATACAGAATATATTATCACACCGGGTGGTGCAATAATATAGCTGCAATATAGTAACTTTTGGAAAATATACAAGGCGTTCATTCCAGTTTGAAATTTCTAGTGGACGTTCCTTGCTTTAATAATTAAGAAGCTACAAAAATGGTTGGAAAGAATGGGAGAGGTGCTGGAGGAGGAAGAGGATGTGCCAAAAAGGCCCTGCAGACTGCCATAAGTGAGAGACCAGAAGCCCACAATAAACGCCTTGTGCAGAGAAGTCTCGTATCATTTGGTCTTGTGAATTTAATTCCTGTGGGGAAGAAAATTGTGGGATATTCTTGAGAAGGAGTACTGTTTCACTGACTTTTTAAGGGCTACCTCTGATGTGAGGGAGAGTAACAATGTTGCTCAACATGAGTGCTGCGTGAAGTATCTGGCTATGAAAGTTGCACCAACATTTTTATGTATCTGTTACAACAGATGTGTCCATTCTCTCTCTAGGAATCTATCCCAAAGTCACACTGTTACCACCCACATGGATGCCTTTATGAGGGAATTAAATTAAGGGTACAATCCTATGCATGTTTGGGCAGAAAAAAGTCTTACAACTCCCAGCATTCCTGCATCAGCATGTGAGCTGGGACATGCTAAGAACCAAAACATTTTTTTTTCTGTCTAAACATATGTAACTTGTGCCCTTAATCAATTTCAAATATACAGGAATTTTTTTTTAAAAAAAATGTTTTCACCTATGGCAATGACACCTTTGCCATATTATTTCTAGCTTGTTTCTTTTTAACCACTTTTAATTTTTTTAATTAAACTTTTCTTTTTTCCATTTCCCCTCCTCCCTGCTTCTATCCCTCCTTTCCCCTGAGTGTAGTTGACCTTCATCTGAGAAGAATATATTTCTGGGTAGAATAGTTCACTGATTGTCTTACTCTTTCTGAAGAACCCACCCCCCACCCCCAAATAGCCTATGATGTTGCAGGTCGATCTTATAATACGATGTCCATTCTCAGGGCTTACTAAGCCATTCATCATCCTTGTTGTTCCAAAACATTTTTCTTGTCTTCACCAGGAAATACCCCAAATCAAGTATAACATAGGAACCAGTTTGCATTGTGCCAGATTATAATGTTTAGCAAGGAACTTTTGTTCATATTTTCCATTTTTCCTGATAAAGATGTCTGTTTAACTTGGAAGTTACAAGCATCTATCAAAAGTTTGTTTAACGTTTAACAAAAAAGTATCACATGCAATGCCTTTTCATATAATTCATTAATATTGAGATCTGAAAGCTCTTTCATTAAATGCAAAATGGAGTAAAAAGAATATGTTTTAAAACTAGAAACTCCATTGCAAAGACATTTATTCTAATGACCGGTGTACTTCAAGTTTTTCATGAGCTGCTTGAGAACATGTAGGCAACTAGTTTCTGCTTGTGGAACTCTTGTAAAAATAACAATGATTATGTCCACAACAAAAAAATATTATTATACCAATTATATTTCTGTTAAATTTTTCAAAATTAATGCCCTTATGCTCACCTTGTTCTATTTAAACAAACACGTTTTTGTTGTATTAAAAGCCAGCATTGCACAGCACTGATTGCCAGGCCTCTGTTGTAATCTGAGGACATTTTTCTCCAAATGGGAAGTTCTCTTTTTCCAACTTGCAGAAGGACTTCTCCTCCAGGGAAAAATTCTGCTGGCAGGAGGAGTGGAGGCATTTTTAAAGACATCCCACTCCACCCATGCACTTGTATGGGGCCCTCCAACTCTCTAGATCCGATTTCCAGGTGACACAGAAGGTTGCAGTTGGGACTTTGTGCCTTTCACCAGCAGGAGTGAACTCCATTTGTGGGAATTTGGGTCAAGCCATGAATCCCTGAGTGTCATTTCATATGGAAAAAACTTTCTATCACTTTTAAAGAACAAGGGAAACAAGTACATTTTGCAGAAAAATACTAATACATTGGACATGTCCTTTTTACAGAGATGATCATAATCCTGAGCTTCTAAGTCATGCTAAAGCAAAAGGCTTCCTTTTGCATTTTTTTCACCTTCTGATATTTCTCTGGGTGGTGAAGTCATCCTAATCATGTTTCTTTGATCTGCATTTATCTATGACACCATATTAAGATGCCGCCAGTGAGCAATTATGATTTCATTGAATGGAACAAAGCTAGAAATGATGCTTAATGAAACAGAGTTTTCTTTTCAACAAGTGAGGGAGAAGAACTCCCAATCCTTTAATACAAAAGAAATGTAGAAACTGCAATTGGGTGGAGAAGAGAAGATATATTAATTCATGATCAGTTTTTAAAAGACTTATTTCCATTTCTGAAATCTTGCTGGTAAGTTTTGCTAATGTTCCTGACTCTACTCTGTGTTTTTTAGCCTGCAGTTACAAAATATTTGAACTAAATATAAAACAACTGTACTCCAATACTGTTGTGCTTGTGTACTATTCTTGTCTTTTGTTTCCTCTTTTCTCACTTTTACAGGCTGTTCCACCACCTAACTTTGAGATGCCAGTGTCCATCCCAGTGTCCAACCACAACAGCTTGGTATACAGCAACCCAGTAAGCTCGCTGGGTAACCCCAACCTTTTGCCTCTGGCCCACCCTTCCTTACAGCGGAACAGCATGTCTCCTGGTGTGACACACCGGCCACCGAGTGCAGGTAACACAGGTAGGTGTTCCCTAATCCGTTTATTTTGCTTCAGTAGTTCTGCTTCCCAGTCTCCTGGCTATATTTAGAAAACAAAAACTCATGCTCACTTCCTCTTCCTTAAACCAAGGGTAACAACGTACCTCAAAATGTAGTAGTGTCCAGGATGATCTTCCATCAGAATGCATAGTTAAATAGAACTAAATTCTAGCAAGCTGCAAAAACTGTGTAAATTGAAAGCAAACTCATAATTTGTTTGGTTGATTTACAATATGTATGTCCTGTCCTTCACTGTCAAATCACAGGGCCGTGCCTGAAATGCATTAAAAGAGCAACTAAAATAGAATTATTAAACAATGTCCATACTGTATTTTCAGTCCATAATGTATTTTCTCCTGATAAACTCAGCAGACTGTTTTAGAAGTCAAGTTCATTTGCCATGTTACAAAAATGCAGTGATCCTTGTTTTATGCAAGACAAACTTGAGAAGGAATCTAAAAGTATGGCCAGAGATAGGTTATCTGCTTGCAAAGAGGCCAATTGAATGTACAGTTCAAATGAGGCTAAATGTGGCCAAGTGTGAGGCCATTAGAAATTCATTGAATGCGATGCATTGTTTCATATCAAGACTGGATTGTCTCACCTTATAAGCAAGATGCTGCCTGCAACCAAGTGTAAGATCACCTCTAAACAGGATAAATAGGAGTTAGGTTCTTTCACACTCTCTGCTTAGAGTAGTCAGCCTTAAATAAATTGAAATTGGAAGTCAAATAAGGTCTCTGGCATAAGGAAAAAATTAAAAAGGAAAGCTACTGACTCAGTATTTGTGAAATATCAAGCATGTTGCACAAAATACATCAACAATTATTGGTAAGGTGTCAAGGGAAGCACTTGCATTATGACTTTCTACTACTTTATGCAGGATTATCCCCTGCAGTTTTCTGATGTCAATCACTCCAAAGGCATTTTCTTAGAGCTGCCAGTTTGGTGCTGTGGTGCATAATGAAGTGCACAGGACTTGTCCTGTGAACAAGCACCTAACTTCCCATGGGGAGCCAGCTGGACAGATTGCACAACCCAAGTCAGTGACAGTATGGCAGTGTAATCCAAAACAGCTTGCCTTTTTTATTTGTAAGGATGGGAATGATTGGCAGAGCCTGATCTGCTGTGCATAGGAAGATTGTAATATGATGCATCGTTGAAACTTAAATTTGATCTGAAAATAACTACCCAAGTTTCCCTACACCCATTTTGGATAATAGCCCTCCTCACTGCCAGATAAGTTGCTTCCAAAATGTGAGGGAATTTGAAGAACGTGATCAGGGAGTTGGGATACATTAGGGGAAAATGTTGGGAAGACCCTATTACGAATGCAAAATACTTGTGCCAGCAAAAGAGCTAATGCAATTCTAGCCCTGATGCACCTCAGCCATCCCTGCACCAAGTCTGCTGGGACTGGAAAATAGGAGCCAATGAAGCTGTTTTCCATTTAGACTAGCATTGCAGATCTGACAAGCACTGGCTGTCCAAGGTCTCACGCAAATATATTTCGCATTCCTTCCGCCTGAGATCTTCTGTTTTTGTTAACTAGAGATGCCTTAAGGATTGGGTGCTTTGTTAGCACTGGGCAGTCTTGCCCTAGGTTATTCTTTATACAGTAGTAGTACTACAAGAGCCAAGGGTTCAAGGCATAAGCTTGAGAATGCTGTGGCAAGATAAGGAAACATGTACTTGGCAATTGGTTTGCATTCACATCGCTGCTTCAAGAGGCATTCATACAACCTGAGTGTTAATTTGTTTCAGAGGTCATATGAGCATATTAAAAATACTGAAGGGTGGCACATTCCTTTTCAGTAGGAATTAAAGCCTTTTAACACTGCAGTCTTTCAACACTGCATCAGTGGATGGTTGAATCCTTTATTGAGATATGTGGCAATTCATTCACTCCAGATCCAGTCAGCATTGTCCTGAACCATTACCCACTGAAGCCACTAAATAATGCTTGTGCACAGCAGGAGCAGTTGAATCAGGTCGTACGTAGACAGACCTCAGTGTGGTTCAAACAGCCTGAGCTTTATAAGAACTTTGGTGGTATGAACTCTGCTAGGTCTTGCTTTGCTTTGAGGAATAGGCTGTAATTTTTGTTTGACCTCTGTGGTTTCTTTCAGCTCCTCTCTCAATTTGACTATTTTATTTGTCTTCTCCTAGGTGGCCTGATGGGTGGGGACCTTACAACCGGTGCAGGCACCAGTGCAGGTAAACAGTAGAATGTTTTATGTCTGCTTTTTAAAATGGTTACAGAGTCCACAACAGAGAGCTAGCATGGAGCCTGTCTAAAAATAACTTTATATAATATCTTTAGGAGTAGAATTAGGTTAACCCTAGATGCTTTGAAAATTTACTTACAAGCACCTTACCAATATCTGACTTCCTGACTTCCTTACATGTAAAGATCTCCAGTTGCTGTTGTTGAAAAGATTCCTTACAGACAACTGTGCAGACTTGGATTAAGACGAGTTTTCACTAGGCAGAGCTAAATCAAAAAGTGCTTTCACAAACCTGTCAGAGGAATGGCTACATGCAAGTGTGTTTTGGGAATGGTATACTAATGGAGACCTTCTCAGTAATCCCAAGAAGGGCTAGTGAAATTTCTGGCAAATGGCTCTTCTGCCTGATCAATTCATTATTCCCATGTCACATTTTAGTAAAAGTCATGCCTGTGAGGCTTCTCCCAATTTAAAATGTTTTGTATGAAACTGCATTGGAAAATGCCATTTGTAGTTAGTTATCAAGACTCACACTTTATCCAAGTGAATGCCTACACTCATGTACACACTGCCTTAACAACTTCCATGTCTGAATGAACTATCTTGAGGGCTGTGCTTGGCAGCATTAAAACCTTTTGGTATAGAAACGTTGTCATTGCATCAAGTGGCTTAGTGGTGTTGTATTTAGCAGCTTTATATCTCCAATCATAAATAGATTGAGAGGCAGATAATAGGAACATATAATCTCCATTGTCAGTGCCTCTGAGTACTTTAAAATCTAAACTAAGGAAGTACCAGTTTTCTTGATTCTGGAATTCCAGCTAGCCAAATTCTGCTTTGATTATATACGTTCAAAGTAAGCGCTAAGATTCTTGACCTTTTATGTTATAGAAACTGAGTAATAATATCAGAATGGATTGTCTGACCTACTAATGAGTGTCCTCTGCTGGTTTATTAAAGCATAGCAATCTTCTTTTTCCCCCTCTGCTCCTAGGAGAGTGCAGGACAGCAATTGGCAGGGAGGACAATTTTTTAAAAACTGCTCCATGAATTAAAATGGATGCATCTCTAAATGCTAAGTTGGAATAAACATCTCCAATTTTGCTGACTAGATTCATAGTGTGATTGAGCCTCAGCTAAACAACGAGAAAATGAAAGAGCACCTCTTTTTATATCGTAAACATATTGGCTGGAAATTTGGTAAAATAAAAAATCCCAAATGACTTCTTACTGTAGAAGCTGGCTGTTTATAAATTATATGAGCAGATAGAAGTGTCATTGTATCAAGAACCCTGGTTCCTTTTGTGGCAAATTACAGATTAGACCTTACTGCAGATGTGCATTCTTTATGTCTTAAATCTGGAGCACTGAGAAGAGTCATTTGCTGTAGGGCAGAAAGGAAGATGAGAGGTCATTATGAGGTTGAAACGTCTGCCACAGTGGCATCATTCAACAATGGTTCTATTTTAGAGAGTCTTCTCTTTCTGTCCCTTAAATATAAAAAGTTCTTTGTTTACCATTTTTTCATGAGGAACAGAGACCCATGTGTGTTTCCCGTTACCATGTTAGAAGCTGCTATGATCTCCTATGGTTCAATTTGCCAGGGTACATAGTCCTTGTCAAATTAGAAGTTTATGTAGTTGCATTTTCCTGTTGCATCTAAAAATAGCAAACTTTCAACAAAAGGAGAAGAATGGCATTGTTTTTTTAGTTTTATTACAGTAATTATAAAATGAAGCTACTTCTGATTACAAATATAAGGGCATTGGTTTCTTCATTAGTTTAACCAATTACACTGTAATGGATAGACAGGAAATGGAAAAAGCTTCTCGATATGTCCATGTTTTCAAAACTGTGCTATTTTACTGGCTTGGCCCATTTGGAATAATAATCCTGAAATCATACACAATTTAACCTTGGGAGTCTACCCAAGATTTAAATAGAACTTGGAAATAGTGAGTACTTTTATTATCATATGCAATTAAATACCAGTTGTGGTTTTTTTAACTAAAACCAAGGTTATCTCAGGTTTGCTAGAGTAATTTTTTTCAGAGTTTCTTCCAATTGGGTAAGTTATGTCATGTGACAGTTGCAACTGCCAACAACTCAAGAATGAACATCCTATTTGGTAGAGTCGCTAAGCTATAAATATTGCTATAGGGTTGGCAACTTTTTGTAAGCGAGAAGCTTGTGATTGAAAGGAAAGAATGAGAATTCCTTGACCTTGAGCCAATATGTTTTAAAACAATCTTTTTGTTACATCCTTCATCTTCACACATGCTAACAGAAAAAAAGGCTGACACTGAAACGATAGGATATGAGATATTGCTTTGTGTTTTTAAAGAACCGTGCTAGCTATTGAAATTTAATGTAATCCTTTGAAAATGTGAGCAATAGGACAAGTATCAAATTTCAATTTTTACAGTGCATTTTGAATTTAAGCCATGATCTGATCTTTGGTTTTGTTAACAGCAAATATTTAGTACTAAATCCCATGGAAAAGGTTAATAGGAGGAATAATATACTTTAAAGACCTTGTGCAACGAATAGTGTGTCAGAAGCCTTTAGCTGGCAAATAGTTCAATCTCTAAGCAGGTGCTCTTAGTTCCTTTTAAGTCATTTGCACAGTCCCCCTGAGTTCAGTAAACTGGATTAATTTCCACTAACCCTAAACCATCACCATATTTTGCAGCTAATGCTACAAGAGATATTTAGACTGAATAATGCTTAGATGTGAACTTGTATCTGTTTTTACTTTTATTATGCACAGTAACATGTTTCTCCCCCCCCCACCACCACCACCCTTTGCCTATACATTTACAAATGACTATAAACTTGAAACATAGTAAACGTCATATACCATGAGGTATGAAGTAGTGCCTTACAATGAATGGTCCATTGGTCCATCTGGTGCAGCAATATCTGCTCTGACTAGACATGGATAAATCTGTTTCACTTTCCATAATGTTTGCATTTTTTCAAGCATAAGTTAATTATGTCCTATTTTTGCATCTGCTTGAAATTTGTTTTAAAGGTCTGTAATTTTCATACACATATTCTTACATATAAACATTTGTATGCATTTTCATATGCATATCCCCCTAATGTACGCATCTTGTATGCAATTTTCGCTAATTTTCCCATTTCTGTATGAATGTCTTGATTGGTGAATGGCATCACAACATTCAGAGAAGTACAAAAAATGAAGGATGATTGGGTTGTGGTTCATGTATTAGCTTGAGAATTGCAAATCAGGTTGGTTTACATTAAAATGTGATCCAAACAGATTTCTCGCCAACCTCAGGTTTGTCTACCAGCAGCTCTCCTTTGTTTTAGACCAGCCTGGCCATTCAAGTTCCTTTAAGAAAACATAACTTCGTTGAATGATGACAGGGGTCCTGTACAGCCCAATCATATGAATGTTTCCTTGGAAGTAATAGCCACTAACTTCAATTGGGCAAACACCTAACTATACATGAATAGGACTGCACTCTTCAGTAGTGTTTTAAGATTACACAGTAATGTAAGGATGGCAACCAGTGATCCCTGCATCTTGCATATTTCCACTCCAGTGCTAATGATGCAGTATTTTAGAACCATAAAATAATAGAGTTGGAAAGGGTCAGAAGGCCACTGGGCTCAACCCATTGTTCAGTGCAGGACTCCAAGTTGAATTATCCCTCTCAGATAGTTGTCCAGTTGCATCTTGAATACTTCTAGTGTGGGAAAGCCCATAACCTCTAGGTAATTGGTTCCACTGTTCAAGAAGAGGTCCTGGCCTTCCTCTTTGTGACAGCCTTTCAAGTACTTGTAGAGTGCTATCACATCTCCCCTCAGTCTTCTTGAGGCTAAATAGGCCCAGATTTTTCCAACTCTCCTCATGGGAGTTTGTTTCTAGTCTCTGGATCATCCTTATTGCCCTCCTCTGAACTCTTTCCAACTTGTCTGCATCTTTCTTAAACTGTGGTGCCCATATCTGCACACATTAATCCAGATGAGGCCTAACCAGTGCCATGTAAAGGGGAACCTCATGAGGTTTGGAAGTGATATTTCTCTTAATTAAGCCCAGAATAGCATTTGCCCTTTTTGCAGCCACATTACATTGTTGAGTCATATTCAGCTTGTGATATTACAACAATCCCAAGACCCTTCTCATTTGCAGTAACATTGAGCCAAGTATTCCCCATCTTGTAACAATGTATTTTAGTTTCTTTTCCTGTGTGCAGAACTTGGCATTTGTCTCTATTGAATTTCAGCCCAGTGCTTCAAGTTCACCTTGAATCTTGTTTCTGCTTTCCAGAATATGAGCTATCGCACCCAGTTTTTTGTCATTTGGAAATCTAATAATTGTTCCCTGCATTTCCGCATCCAATTCATTAATAAAAATGTCCAAGAACACTGAACTCAGGACTGAAGCCTGTGGTGCTCCACTTGTTTTGTCCCCCCAGTATGAGAAGGTGCCATTGATGAGCCCTCTGTGAGTCCAATTCTGGAGCCAACTGTGGATCTAATAATTGTTCCAGCTGATAGTTGTTCCATCTAGCCCACTTTTAGCTAGTTTGCTAATCAGGACATCAGGGGGCACTTTTTCAAAAGCTTTGAAAAGGTAGATTCTGTCCACAGCATATCAGGGAAGTTACCCATCAAAGAATGAAATCAGATTAGTCTGGAAAGATTTATTCTTTAAAAATCCATGTTGGCTTCTAGTGATCACTGCATTGTTTGAGGCATTTTCAGACTGACTGCTTTATCATTTTCTCTATAATTTTTCCAGGGATGTATGTCAGACTGACTGATCTGTTATTCCCAGGTCCTTCTTTTTTGCCTTCTTGAAGGGACAGCAGTAGCCCTTCTCCAATTATCTGGCATTTCCTGTCTTCCATGAGTTCTCAAAGATAATAGACTCTGGGGCCCCTTCTGCCAGCTCCTTTATGATTTGAGTATGGAGTTCATCCAACCCTGGAGATTGGACCTGGGTCGAATCCAATT